TGAAAGAGAGATACCTCGCCTGAATAGGTTTTAAAACCCCATGAAAGGTGATTATCATGCAAGCGAAGGATTTGTTGTTTCTTTATCCGTGCCATTGATAGACATTTTAAGATATTTTGTAGCATATCCTCTATTTTAGTATTATATTTGAAAGGGGAATTTATTATTAAATTATCCACAAGAGATGAGGAATTTGACATTGTACGCGTGTTTCGATCTAATTTCAAAATACCCATAAAAACATACGATTTTGAGTTGGAATAATTATAATTTGGCAAAATATTAAATATGCCCTCTTACATGTATTTTGACAAGTTTTCATGTCTGAAACCAAGACAAATAAAAATAATTATCTTGAAATAGATTTGGTTGTTTAGTCTACTTCAAATGTGAGAGAGAAGAGTGCGCACTTAAAATCATGGGAAAGTAAATAATGAGGCCACATGCAATGACTGTTTATGTGAAGACTAGCCCTAGAGCATATAGCAACCTCCTCCAGGACCATACTGTCAACAACTCCTAGCCCTAGAGCATATAGCAAGCTCCTCCAGGAGCATACCGTCAACAACTCCCTCAGGCAAAGTATATAGCATTTGGGATTTAAGTATGAGAAAAGTTTATATAAGGTTGCAACTTTGAAATGTAGAATCATATATGCACCTCAAAAATCTATCGGATATATTGTTTTAATGTTGAAAAAGCCTTCTAATCAATCATCTCAACATCGAGATCTACGAATATGAAAGAACACAGTTTTTGGATATCGAAAATAGTGCATCTTACAACACATTATCTAGACCGTCCATTTTCAAGATTTTCATATATTTATAGATTTACTTGATTTTAACCATTTTTGAACTTTAAAATTTTCTAATTAGGTATGAAAATAGATTTTAAGATAATACCAATAATTTTAACCATGTTATGATAAAATTTTAAGATGCTCCTTGAAGGTTGCAACCTTATAGAAATTGCATCTAGTATTAAGTATTACTAGCTTATTATTTTAAGGAAAACATAATTGAATTTTGAGTTCTTGAAGATGTAAGGCTTTCTCTCTAAAAATTGGATCTCAGTTCAAACTTGGGGCGTCATCTTTTTTAGGCACATAAAGATCACAAATTAATTTTTTCCTTTGAAATTGATATTTCTTCTTTTTGTTCTCATAAATAAAATAAAAGAATTATGTAGATATGAAATCCACCATCTAAAACATGAATCAAGAAGGCTCTTTTCCATATTTTAGGGGCAGAACACCTTATTTTCTTTTTAATTTACCGATTTTAGGTTAGGATTCTGCTTACAAAGAAGGGATTTTGCCTTGAAAAATTGAGATTCCCATCTTTCATGTTTCACTAGGGAAGGAGTATTTTCTATGCGAGGGAGCAAAGGGACATATGCTCCTGCGGGCATTGTTGAAACGACCTAGTAACGGATCAGTTCTATATCACAGGATTTGCTTCCTCTGGCACAACCGTGAGAGTGACTGTATTATTGTTTGATCTCTTAACAACTGCCTTCATGGGCACCCCAACCTTGTCCTCCAGAACTTCTACAACCTGTTAAAAACCCATGAATCGTATTTTTCAGTTTAGGAATACATATATATGGAAAAAATTTATATAAAGGTGAGATCCTAAACAATCAAATTAAGCTGCATCTCAAAAATTCACTAAAAAAAGTTGTTTTGATGCTCAAAAATCTCAAATTGATCATCTTGACCTCAAGATGCATAAACATGAGAAAAAATGGATTTCAAATCTTGAAAATAGAGCATCTTAAAAAACGCATTTTCTAAACTATCAAAATTTTAAGATTTTTCAGTGTTCAAAGATCTGCTTGATCTACACTATTTTTGAAGCTTTAAATTTTATAATTAGAGATGAAAATAAATTTTTAGGCCATCATAAATTTTTCAAAACTGAAACAACATATTTCGATATCATCTAAAGGTGCACCTTACTTTGATTGGTTAGAGCTTCAGCCTTATACAAACCACAACCCATAGATATTACTTCAAGAGACAAAAGATTGATGCAGTTTCTACCTCCTCGACACTTCCCACTGGTTTTCCGTCAAGTTCGACAACCACATCTCCAGGGAGAAATCCAGCACGATCAGCCGGGGAGCCAGGAGTCACCTGTATCAGCAGTTTGTGATATGCAAACTCTCTCTCTTTTACACAAGCAGCAACATGGCTAGCAAGTAGATCTATTGAAGGTAATATATGATCCCAAATAGTTGGGATAATCCTCAGATGAGGATGATGATGTTGTGACACAACATGCATGCAACAACATACTTATATGTATTTATCAATTGGGAAATTGTAGTTCGGATTTCAAATAAAACCCCCATTTTTCTTTGTCTTTCCTGAATTGCATCCCAAATTAAAACTTAAAAGACCCCCTTCCATACAACTCAACCCAACTCCATTTTTCTTCTCAAAATATATCCATATAAAATATCTCAATTCCTCCCCCAAAACCATCAAATTTCTATGTCATTCTCCCACACTCACTCACAAAAATCCTCCCCTTCCCTCACTAAAACAACTCTTTACCACTTAGAGAAAAATAAAAAATAAGTAGAGAATCAAAAGCAATAAAAGTGAATTGTGGGTGTGAGAGAGAACCACGAGTTATGAAAATATAATTTAGGACACAAGGTTGCTGAGAGAGAGAGAGAGAGAGGTAGGGGGTGGGGGGGAGTAGTGAGGCGGAGGCAGAGTATTAGTAAAGGAAAGAAAAGGAGGAGGGAAGGGGAAAAGGGGAAAGGGGGGGTGGGGTGTCTTATTTGTAATCCTGAAATTCGGGGGGTTTTACCAATTGAAAAACTATGAATCAAACCAATCGAACGAATAAGAATTAGATTCAAGGCCCTATGAGGTATGAAAATTTGAGGTTCAATATTTAGCAAAGCCATTATGGAAAACTTACCAGTGGCACAAGTACCCCTCTGTTCACATCAGGGAATGAGGTATCTCTTTCTTTAAGCTGAGCAACGATCATATTGTTAAGATCAAGCATTCTCAAACCAAGCCAAGGCCGAACAACTCTCCTGCAAAGCTAAAAACCTAGTTAGAATCTTAAAAGTTTGCAAAAGGCCGAACAACTCTCCTGCAAAGCTAAAAACCTAGCTAGAATCTTAAAAGTTTGCAATAAATAAAAATATTAAGATAAAAGATAAAAGGTGGATATCCCTAGAAGTTCCAAATAAATGGTGATATATCATAAATCCCCTTTTTTCTTTTTTCAGATGTGAAAAAGGTAGGATTAGAACCCTTGAAGTCATGTTGTGGCTTTACCACTCTGACCAACCAAGCCAAGGGTCATCCCTTCTATTTTAGAAGATTGCAAATAAACAAATTTAGAAATACAACAAAATTGGTAATCTTCAGGTTGAGACTTAAACGGGGCTTCACCTGCTGCTACGGTGTAAGGGTCACAACCTAGTGTCTAAGGTTCAAATCTCAGCCTACCCACCTGCAAAAGCAAAGAGAAAGGGAAAAAAGAGAGGAAAAAGACTGCCAAACGACAAAGTGATCTTAAGATAATAGGAGTGGCAATGGGTCAGGCGGCCTGGCACTAAAAAAACAAGGGTTGGGGCCACAAGGTGGTAGCCCGAGGGCTAGGGTAGGGTCCGGCAACCACTGCACGAGGGTAGGGCTGGGCCGGGCTTGGGCCAAGGCCATGATAAGGCGGCCCAAGCCCTTTTTTCCTTCTCTCTCTCTCTTGGTTTATATTTATTTCAGCCCGGCACTAACAAGGCTAGGACCGCCCTTGTAGATACTAGGGCCAAGGCTAGCCTAGACCAGGCCAGTTGCCAGCCCTAAAGATAAATACTGTCTAAAACAGCCAAGGACATTAGGGCTCAGCCGGGGGTGGGGAGAGATTATTGAAATGCTACAGTGCTTGAGCAAGATACTGTAGCAATTGGCCAGTTGGTGAAAGACCAAGTGCTCAGTCTGAGCTCGAGTTTGATAACATTTCAGAAGTGTAATAGGGGGTGGAAATCTGAGCACCCTTTTCTCATTTCTCCTCATCCAAGCATCTAATCGAGCAGAAATTTTTGGGTTATGCTTGTTTTTGTATGATCTATAAATTGAATAGATTGAATTTGAGAAGGAAAAAAATAGACTTAACGGGTTCAAGATATCAAAAATTCGAGCTAAGTTTTCTCCATAAATGTTGCTCGATCTTGGATAAAAATGGCTCCCCAAGCCTATTTTTTATTCTTCATTGAATCATAGGCTGGTTTCTCACAAAAAAATACAATGAGTTTAGATTTTTGTTTCGGATACACTCGTCATCATCATCATCAGAGCCTTTTCCCAACTATTCGGGGTTGACTTTATTTTGGATACACTACGCACCTAAAAATTCAAGAGCTCGGATCATCTAGATCAGACTCAAATCACGAATCCAGTTTGGAATTACTGGTGTTTGAGGATGCTTTGACAAAGATTGGAGGCATTGATTAGAGCTGAGTGTAAAGATTAGAGGATCGGCCTCAAAATTTTGAGGCAACTTCCATTGTTTTCAATTTAAATTCATATAATTAATTTTAATTTTATCATTTTCCATATTGTATATACTTCTTATGAGTTTTGTATTTTTTTTTTAATTTCTAAGATTTTTCCCAAACTTTTGGGGATTTTTTCCAACCTACACGGCCAACTCAGGGCAAACTTGGCAAGTCAACTCGGGACTTGTAGAGCTTACTTGCTCCAGGCAGGACCCAAGTTCAGATCAGAGTATTGAGTCTTCCAACCTTGATAAATACATCTGAAATCTGACCTGCCTGCCTCCAAAATAAACCATAGAGGTTACAGGAATGGCCACTTGGAACAGCATGAATTTATTCAAGTAGGTCCCTAACAGGAGTATAGTAAGTTCATGATTCATCTCTATGTCAAAAACAGATTTAACTAAACAGTCACTCTGTTACTTCATGGAGTCCAAAGATCTGTAGATCGTGGAAACCCAATATTAGTATTTCAGAGATAATTAACGAGTCATCAATGGGTGAAATCATTAAAACATCACAGCAAATATAAATACAACTCGACAGGTCTAAGTTGGCAACATCTCTGATTGTTCCCATTGTATGGGAGCATGCCTCTTGTCATGGTGTCTACAACAATAAGAGTATTTCTATTATCAAAGGGGTAATAGAACCATGGAAATCTTACTGAAGACTCTAAAACTTGCATTTATTCAAAAGTCCCACAAAAATAGAAATCGTTAAATAAGGGGTTAAACTCAACATTTGAGATAAAACATATGAAGGTCGTGCATGACTTTGTATGGGGATGAAGCCTGCTTCAACGCTATCAAATTTATTTACCTTAATATTAAGCAACAAATGGTAGGATAAGGTGTAAATGACACTATTCAAAATGCCTACAAAACGTGTACGAGCAAATGTGCAATAACTTGGTTGCACTTCTATAAGCCTTCTAACAGGCCTACACCCTGATAATCCAAACCCCCCTACTGCACATTACAAAATCAGATAGACCACTGACTCAACAGGGTTATAACTGCTATCATTGTATAAGTTAATTAGGAAGCAAATAATTAGACAGAGATCATGGCTTTCGGATGGAATAACCTACCTTTTGCATGCCTGTCACCTCTCTGCATATCAAAAGATTAAAAAAGGAGAAGCTAGCTTCCACCAGAGCAACACCAATAATGAATACTGACATAAAGATGCATGTAACATAATGTACTGGCATAACATTTTGTTTGTGTAAGTAATAATTTAATAAACCTTCATAAATAGCTTTGAAGAACAAAGAAGAAATGATAGAAAGAGGGAGAATGGCTACCCATTCTTCTTGAATTGTTCAATAATTTTTATGATCGAGTCTATTGGTACAGCGAAGCTCAAACCATCAGCATCCACAATCTTCATGATGTTAACTCCAATAACTTCTCCATCAAGATTGACAAGAGGCCCTCCCGAATTACCCTATTGCAGGAAAAGAAAAATGAGAAGATTAGCAATGATTACTAAATGTATGATAGCAAAACACCAGTATGAAACGCTTCTAATATGATTGAGTTCTACTAGCTATGTGCATTTCATTATGTTACCACAGAAAACTTATGTTTTCAAAAACTAATACAAACCTTGCATAGATTTCCAACAAATTTTAAAAATATGTAATATTAGAATACAATACTAACATCATGGGAAAAAAATACTGCCAATATAAAATGAAAGGAAAAGAATATTACCAAGAGGCATCACAACAGAGTCAAATAAAAATGATCGGAGAAATATTGCCCAACACCATTTAAAGGGAATATTACCTCATTAATCGCACAATCTGTTTGTAAATACTCCCTTCGAATTCCTGCAAGACCCAAATCACTGCTTTTGCGGTCGACGCAGCTAGATTACATGAGGAAGATAACGAGGAAAAATTAGCCCCATGAAATATAAGTATGACCGCAGAAACTGAAAGAATCAACAGAAACTATTCAACAATGGAAGATAAGCAAACGCCTGAAAAAAATTACAAGAACAGATGACAAGGGATATCAATTCATTTTGTGGCAAGAATACAGCCCTTAATAGAGTTTTGAGTTTTGAGATCAATTATGCACTTCGTTTCTGTCGGTATTATATACTTTAGTATGTGTTTTGTGACAAGGCTGCATGAGTTCCTATGACAAAAGAACCTCAATAAAACTATTATTAAATAAAGTCATTTCAATAAAAGAATATTGCATGGTTTCCTTGCCCTTTTGTAAAATACTATCAGGTGACCCATTTTATATCTCTAGGGAGCTATGAAAAGCATCTGGCCATCCAAACTTATGAATGCTAGTGAGGAGACAAAGAACTGTCATCATAGAAAACTAAAAGTCCTCAAATAAATGGAAAATGAACTTAGTTCCGTTATGCTCATGACTATAGAGGCAAAAAGGCAGGTAAAATGGCTGTAAGACTATTCCAGAACCTGGTTCAAGGCAAGCCTCTAAGCATCCATTCATCTATATAAAACATCTTGAGTTCCAATATTGTGCACCTTTGCATCATTGACAATTATCTTCAACACGTAATGATCCACTCTGGGTTGAGTAGACACTACTGCCATTCTCCCTTTGAAATTTTGGTTTTTCCTTTCTAAAATGAAAAATATATAGTTCAATTGTTGATTGAAATTTGATTTTGGGAAAGCATAGTAGATCCATAGGACCATTATAAATTGATTTGGGGAAAGCAAGGAAAGATAGCCTGTCTATGACATACACTAAATAATTCTCTTAGAACATGGCACATGCTTAAAAATCAGAATTTCAACAAAACCAGTAATCAATTGTTCCCATACTACTATGGAAAAAATCTCCGCAAGTAGTTAAGAAAAAAAAAAAAAACCCTCAATATTATCGTAAGAGTGGTAGCATGTAGAAGCTCGATTATTACTCTTAACAATTCCGCATACAGTTTATTGCAAAAAGCTGTGGAGCGTGACAATAATGAATCACACCTCTCGAAGGAAGAAAACTAAAAAAAATCAGTTCAACCTTTTGTGGCATTGAATTTGGAGGCAACTGAAAACTTACCTAACAATACCAGCTGTTATTGTATTTTGCAAGGAAAGAGGACAACCTAGAGCTACCACCCAGTCTCCAGGACGAAGCATGCCTGATGAACCAAGCTTCGCAGCTGGCAATGGAGTCTTAGATTTGATCTTCACAACAGCAATGTCAGAGTGAAAATCAGCGTTTACCACCTCGCCTTCAAATGTTCGGCCATCTTGCAGAGTTACATCGACCTGCTTTCCAATAACAAAACCACATGATATGTAAAAAGCAAACATATAATACACAATATAATGTACAGCAAGAGCCAAAATAATATATGGTCCAGCAGGTACAATGCTCCCTCAAGCCCTATTTAGAAGTAGGGTTAGAACCCTAAATCTCGCGGATGTGTCCTCCTCAACATAGCAATCATCCCGGAAAAAACACACACACAGACACAAAAAAAAGAGAGGCTATATGTATCTAAACAACATGTTCAAAAGATTGAACAGAAGTCATACAATTTTGGACAATCAGATTTAAGTGTTTAGGAGCTCAAAATCCCTTTTTTTTGGGAAAACACTCATTTGTTGATTCGAAGGTGGATCCCAAAATTTAGATCGAGAAAAGACCCTAAAGTAGGTCTTTTACCCAAGGAAGTAAGTGTACAATGTGCACCGGCGAGACTGCACCTTATGAGGTCATGAACAATATATACATTACGAAGAACAAACACACGATCTTGTATCCTTGTCACGTCAATCATGTTATTTTTAATGAGCATTTCCTATGTTGGTGTCCATTTTATTAGAACCTTTGAAAATTAACAGGCATTCTAGTAAAAGGACCAACATATTTTTATATTTCAATAAAAAAAAAGGAACAAAATATATATTTGAAGAAAGTGGCCTTCTCTAAAACAGAGAGCACCCTTTATGGATCAGTATACTCTTCAATTACAGGACTTAATGAAACTTCAGAGCTTGTTACAGAGCAATCCAATTCATTCCTACAGTTTTTTAGAAAGCCAAAAAGCCACCTCATCACTAAAGTCAACAGGGAATACTATTTTACAGAAGTTAAACTCAATATTTAGTAGATTACAACCAAGTATCAACTATCAAGGAATGAAATGCATCTCTGGCAAAAGAAAAAAAGGTTATCAAGCCAAATGCCAGAAACTATTGCATATTGATAAATTTGAAACACAAATATATAGTTTGATAGGGAAGAGTCTGACCTTTCTCTTGTATGGAGACCTAGCACTTTGGAAGCCTACCACAACATGGGCACAAGTTAAGATTGTGCCGTCTGGATCAATTATTGTTCCAGATCCTATATTCTTCCCCAGGGTCATGCCACTGAAACCTGCTATGAAGAAAATAACCTATTTCGGTTGAAATCTAATAATATCTTTATTAAAATTTACAAAATACAGATCAAATAAATAACTTTAGTACATTACGATACAAGATGTTTGCATGTTAAGACTTGAGTAAAAAAAATATGAGTTTTAAAAATTACTTGAGAAAAAATATTCATAACTAAAATAAATAACTTCCCAATATGTTTATTATGTATCTAATTATGATTTATAAATTTGAGTGTATGTTTTATTTTTTCTTAATTTTCATATTTCTTATATATTTATTGTGACAGCTCTGAGAAAGAGCAAACTTGTGCAAGAGAATAAAAGAAATCACTCATTTGCTTCTTTCTTGCAAATCTTTTGCTCCCAACTACTTATCTTTGTGCACTGAGCACAATCATAAACTTCTAATAACTAAGAAAGAGTACCAATCTTTCCAAGACTGATAGAAAATTGAGCTATGTGAGAAACACAAGAAATCACCTTGTGTAACTGAAAGATTGACAACAGCAGGTCCAACCAGAGCAGCCGCATTTGCGATGGAATTCCTACCCAAGCAGCCAGAACTGGAGTTGTTCTCATCTCCAACATCATCAGAACCTTTCTCCTTGACACCGATATAAGGAGGTGACGTTGAACCTTTCTTCTTAATACCGATAAAAGGAGGTGAATTTGAATTCAACGTATCAGTACCATCAGTTCTAGAAAAGTTTACTGGCAGATACCCTAAAAAACAAATGCAAAATATAATTGACGATCAATCACTTTCTCCAAAAACTATCCAATGAACGGGAAATGGAAATGAGTAACTCATAACAAGTATATAAGAATCATATAAAGGGCACTTCTAACAAATACACAAGTTTCAATGCTTTTGATATCAGCCCTCTAGTGACAACACAAACATTTGGTTGCTTGTCACCCAAGCACTGGAATGACATGGTGGATCTCAAGTTTTTTTACTACCCAGGCAAGGAATTCCATGTTAAGAACATAAGCCTGTTGGGCATAGTTAGAATAGAGTTTTTTTTTTTTTAATACTATATTTTTATAATTTTTTATAATTCTACAGGTTTGAATATTTCCCTTATTTCAACATCAAAAAGTGAAGTTAAGCCTACCCTTGTTTGTGGTATCCAACCATGGAGAAAGTTGATGGACTTCTCCCAATAAAGACTGCCACCACCTCAATGGAAAGTCATATGAAGACTGAGATATGTTGGTCTTAAATTTTTCATCTCCTGTTACCAACGCAATATACAATGTCTCATAAAAAGAACTTCGTACATGAGCTTTGTGGGCAATATAAACGTAAAAGTGGGAGGAATTGCATTATACAATGCACTTTAGCAAGTTTAACAATAAATTCTTTACTTACTAGAGATTGTGTTGTAAATGGAGAAAGCACTAACTCCAACAATAGCCAATCGAAAGAGTTGTCCTGTTGTCTTATGTCCTCCTCTAAAACATGTTTGGGAGCCAAAATATCTGCTGTGATTTCCAGTCTACAAAGAATAGAAGTGTAAAATTATCAAAAAAAGAAGAGAAAACAGAAAAAGAGATCAGAATAACAATACCAGTCAAATGACAAATTATGCAATGCATGCCATTCCCTCCACTTTTTTTCTAAATGAAAAAAGTTTGAGTTTAATCATTGGGCAATGATGTCCACCTATTTACAACAACGAGTAGACATAATTCAGATTCATGAGTACCCATTCAGGATTACCAGAGCACCCAATATAAACCATATAACTATGGAACATGGACATGTATCTATGGTTTTTGTGCATCAACACTCTAAGGATATGATACACATGTATGACAATTTAGAAATGGGTGAGGTTTGTTTAGAGCCTAGGCTCTATATAAACTTTGCCCTTTAGAAATCTAGACACTTATTATTAATATTTCTCGTTGAAATTTTCATGGCAAAAAGAGTTAATGCTCCCTAAACTCCCGCCTCCTCCCACCTTTCAATAGTATAGAGGCATGTCTTGTCAGAAAGGCCAATATCAAGATTGGCGCATGTAACGCTCATATAAATGAAGACACTTGGACATGTATCCGTGTCTATGTAAAATATACACTATATTGACTTTTAGCTATGAAAGAAAATATAATTTTAGTACAAGGAGTAATTATAATGCTTTTGACTGGACAATCTTTGTACTGTCAAATTTCATTGAACCTTTTTTTTTTTCCATATTTTGCAACCAGCTAAAATTGAAGTGCAGATATCACTCTGCTTGAGTTCTAGCTATGATTTAGTATCAAAATAAATCAGTATACATAAATTTAAGAGACTGGCAAATTTTAGAAAACCATTAGATTATAAGGGAGTCCTCTACAAATTTCACAAAACTGAAGAAATTAAATCCGGAACGAGATCGATTCATTAAAAATTTGAAACCAAAGATAAATAAATGATTGATAGAATGCTTCAATGAATCAATCCAAAAAATGTAACACAATAAGGTCCAATTTTAAGGTCCAATTTTATGAAATGGGAGAATTCAAAAAGAAAATAAACAGATAAACCATTGCATTTTAATATGAAAAATAAAAAATAAAAATTAACAGGATCACTAAACCAATAAAAGAAATTCAGAATTCAACACAAAATACTTACAGTTAATAACAGCGGATGTCCCTGCCTCTGAGCTCCGTAGATTCTGAAACCCCTCAACAAAGAAGAAAAAACTTTTGCCATGTATCCTCTCTCCAAAAATAAACAATGGCCGATTCTTAATGCAGGATCATTAACGTCGAAAATTGATCATTTCCTCCAAAAATAAGATCCCATGAGATTAAAACTAAATCGAAAGTGAAGTAAAATTCAAAGAGATTTACAGGGCCAAAATGAAGCAAATTTGTAGGGTTCCAGAATGTTTAAAAGAGATTTTCTGGGGTTTAGGATTTTTGAAAAATATGAAAAATGGCGGGGTTTAAAGTCTTGAACCCCGCCTTTAAACCAGATCAAATGGTGACTCAAATGCTTCAGAAGTGACGATATAGCTCTTTGTCTTTACCTTAAATCCTAAGGACTGGATCGATATGCAATACTAAAGGCACGTTCCAGAATCAACGGTATAAAGGTCATTACGAGAAATACTTGGGGTCAACAAATTTGGGCACGTCCCAGTGCGCTGGATATGAAATGTTGTCATGTTTGCTTTGGAGTTTGGAGCGAAGAATTCCGATTTTTTTTTTTAATTTAGTATAAATAAATTTGACATTTGTATATAAAATTCAGTCTTTTGCTGGTAGAAGATTTTCGAATTGGTCTAAACAAGGCGAATTTGATAACATTGGTTGAAACTAGAAGCGGCAATGAGTTGGGTCCAAGATATTCTAAAACAAAATTGTCCATAATTTCTTAGGTGCAATGCATCACTAACCTCAATAAAATGATATTCTGAAACAAAACTGTCAACTTGCTCTCTAGGCTTTGGGGTTCGGGACATAACCATTAGAACGTAAAAACTAACTTTGGAAAAATCAAATTGCAAACTTGGTGCCTCAAAAAAAATTAACTTTTCAAAATTGAACAAGGACCATCCAATCTTTGGATAGCAAACTCTAAGAGTTAAATACTTCAAATTGACTTAAAAAAAACTTCAAATTCTAGTGCTTCTAAAGTTGATCTTAAAATCTGATATCCACAAAATCTTCCCAAGTAAGTCTTTTAACCAATGGAACAAGTGCGCAGTATATGTTAATATGGGAGCATAGTATATGTACTACTATCTTTGGGCCTTCCCCTAACATCTACCATTTTAAGGGGTGTAATTTACATAAGGCGGCAACAGCGTCTTATGAAAAAATAGTAGGCCTACAACTCCTAACCCTACCTGAAAATGCTTTTTCGCATAAGAAATCCTTACCATTGTTTGAAAATTTATTTCCACCCTTTAGTATGATTTTCAAGCTATGATAATGATGCATGTATGGAAAATTGATAGTCAAGAAAATGTATTATGAGATGCATTATTTTTAAAGTTTTTTTTGTTTTTCAAAAATATAATTGTCAATGTCAAAATGATCAAGTGGAAGGTTCTATGGTACCAAAACAATTTATTTGACTCATTTTAGAGGTGCAACCATAACTGTTTTTTTTTTAAAAGGTGAAAGCCTTGTACAACGATTTTCCTTTAAAAATATGCTTTTAAGTAGTGCGTGTATATGTGCGCATGTACAAGAAAAACAATACCATATTGGCCAACCTTTTGCATGTCCCCATGCACAATTTATGTCATGGAAAGACACATTGTTATTTAAAATATGGTAAAAAGTGAATTAGCCGCAATGTTACATATTAATTATAGCTTGAAGCTAATCGTTTATATACCAATCATAGTATTTTTGTGTATCCACTCCCAATCATATGATGAAAATTACCTTAAGATGTTTATTTTCCTTCTTCTATAAATTTTTTGAGATCACAATTGATAATTTTGGAAAAGCAAAATGGTCAAGCAATTTACGATTTATCAATGTAGTTGTAAGCTTAAATTGATCATTTGACTCTGTCAACTAATTTATTATTGAAAAAAGCTGGGATTAACCACTAGCTCATATGACCATATGAGCTCAACGGTCCATATTGAATCTGAACCGATCTGACAGTCACGACTTTATTTTATATTTGAATTTTAATTTTTTTTCTACAAATCCAAATTAAACATGTGTTATTCTCATCAAAGCACACCTAATAAAAATATATATAAAAAAATATTCACGAAAACAAATGACCAAAATACCTCCAAAACTTTTTCAAGATATTTTGATCAATTTATTTCATGTAAAACACTTTTTTGATATTTTTTAAAAATTCAACTATCTTTTATAAACACACTTAAAATTTCAAGTGATTAGACTTTATCGAAAAATAAATAAATTCAAACGTTACCAGACATCCGTGATCAACAGATCGACCCAGATTCAATTTAAACGTTGAGGTCATATGTTCATATGAACCAGAGGGCTAATCGTATCTTTTTCTTTTATTATTGGATTATATACAATGAGACTATTTACCTTTGATAAAGAGAAGTCACAATTGCTTACTACCATCCGATGTGAAATCTAATTGCTTAAATATACCAAGAATTTTAAAAAAATTTCTTTTGAACTTTGAGCTTGATCAAAGTAATAAATATAGCCACCTAATTTCACATCAAATGATTAAGCTTAATTGTGACCACCTTGTATCTAAAATAAATGACCCCATCATATACTTTCCCATTTATTATTTATATTACCCCATTCATTCAAGATTATGTTGACATTGATGAATAACAATACAAGATGAGATAGAATTCAAAATATATACATTCAAAAGAACTTAGAAGTGGCACCAATAGATGATTAGATTAAAGAAAATAGACTTAGATGGACTAATTGTACAGTGCCGACCCATACAACACTTATTAAAAAGTGCAAGTGCATTCAAATAGAATGCTAAAAAAAAGCAAAATGCAGACCCAAAATGACATTGTACTTGATAGAACAGAATGACAGACCATATATAGCTGACCATATATAGCTGACCCAAACAGTGGGGAAAAAGTTTAGAAGATGATTACTCAATACCCATGAGAGATGAGTTGCTTAGCATCCTACCCATATCTTTTCATTAATTTCAAAATACCCATCAAATTACACATCCTAGGGGTCTTTTGATAAATTTCTCAAAATAAACCATCCAGCAATGTACCCTAGCCAACGGATTTATACAGCAGCATAGAATCTTCTTCCTAAATTAATATCAAAACCTTTTTTTTAGATCAGTAAAATTAATATCAAAACTCAGTATTCACATATGATATTCCAATAACATTAGGGTAAGTGTTGTGAGAGGCGGCCTTGCCACCCTTGTCTTTGTATGAATTTCGAGAAGAGAGGGGCTTCCTTCGACCATGTGCGGCAGCAACTGCCTGCCGCCTCTGCTTGTTCAGCCTTCTCACTAGCACAGGATCATCCTCATCTCCCTGGAGCAAGGAAGACTAACAATTTAAAATAGGACTTTGCCTCTTTTTCTTAAGTAGGATTTCGACTCTTTTTTAATGCAATAGGATTTTCTCTCTTTTTCAAGGGTGGATCCGGGTCCGAGTTCGGGTCCGGGCCCGGGTCTATACCCAACCCATTATCACCCCTACTCTTTTTTCAACAAACCCTCTCGCTCGCTCTCTCTCTCTCAACCCTACAAACAAATAATTTTGTGCTGTTCACGACCAGAAGATAGGGATGAATGTGACAAGGATGCTTTGATAACCGAATTTTTTATTGAAAAATAAAATAAAAAACAGCCATCTTGCTTTTTTTTTTTTTTGAAATGTCATCTTGCTATTATGACTAACAAGGAACACAGCCATGATAACTTTTATCGATCATTTTTCTTTTTTGTTCTAACCTTGTTTAGGGTATCTTTGCTTTTAGAATTTCCCAACATCACTAACCCAAAAACACATCTGCTGAGGTTTTTTTCCCTCCATTTTTTTCCATTTTTTCGATTTCTATGAGAAGATGGGTTTTTGAACATAACGAGATATCTTTTGGGGGAGAAAATAATGGTTAAGAAAATAGGAAAGCTGAGTTCATGCAACAATATAGCTGCCACAACACCAAATGTCCCAAGTAGACCTGGAGCAAGGTTAAAATCTAAAAATTATTTCCTTTTCTTTTTTTGGAAAAATTCAACTGTCCCATAACAAGAAAAAAAAAAACTTACATGGTGCATGCAAGTACCAAGCTTCCACGAGAGAGAGGGGAAACAAAACTAAATGAAAAAAACCAAGATCGCCAGCACATACCTCTTCGTCTTGTCGTAGAGACTCCTCATTATGAGCATCCGTGGTTCCGCCTACAGAAGCCTTATCCACATCATCATGACCGTCTCCTCTATGTGTGCTATTACCATCAGTGTGAGACTTCTCCAAATCATCCTCACCACTTCCACATATGCTAACCTCACGCTTTATAAAATCCCCACTAAACTGCGAAGAGCCCAATCAGTTAACAAGTAACCAACACAACTACTGATGCATAGACAAAAGCACTGAAGATCAATGGAAGCAAATGCATTCACCATCAATGCTAAAGAGTAATGGAGTTTAACCATTCAAAAAACAAAAAACAAAAAAAGGTAACGAAATTAGAGTTTTAGACTCCTGACTTAGTGATTATAAGGCAACAAAGGCCAGAGCACTCACTTTCAAGATTTTCTTTTTCTTTTCTTTCTTTCCCCTCTTAACAATAGCTATTAACCTTCATGGTTTTTCACTCCAGCTCAACAGCACAAAAAAGGCTGAAAATTAAAAAATAATAAAATCGATGTTTGGTGAAGACTAATCATGGTATTTCTATCATTGCCATCAGCGAGTCTACCAAAGAAATAGTTGCTAGTTATCTCAATGCAGTCAAATATCTGCACATTTGTCATTAAATAGAACATGGTTTTTGTATGATAGAATAAAAAAAGAAAACACGGGGCTTTAATCAGTTGAAGAAAAAAAAACTTCTCCTGATTTTTTCAGTAGGGCATTTCTCCTTTCTATAATCAACATATTTCCTCAGGGAAGCATACCTCACTTCCTATATGCATTGAATCCAAGCTAGAAGCAGCTGCATCAACGTTTCCTAGAGAAAGGCATCTCACATCAGAAGTCTCTTCTTCCTCAGAACTTCCACAATCCACAGGCTCACTGGGGTTAATGACAAACTGGATTTTGGCCAAGGCAAATAAGTTTATGAGATCATGCATACATCCTATAAGAAGAAATGTGTTATCGTCCGAGCTTTATCCCAACTATTTGGAGTCGGCTATCTTATTAGAAGAAATTCAATCCAATAAATAAAGAATTACTTGGCCTCTGAATTTTGAAGTGAAGTTAAACACGAACAAGGCTTACACTGTACTATTCATTAAATGAACTTTACATTAGTAAAACAAAAATACCTTCTCCATCTCATCCTGGTCTGTTCTTGTAAAACCACTGGCGGCAAGCTCCTTATCCAAAGAACTCGTAGACTTCACTATAGAAGAAAAGCATGGCCGCACACTTTCTTCAGAATCCGAATCTGATCCCTCGCATTCATATGAAATATTAAACCTGCGACAGCAATAAATTTTATGGGTCTACTAAGAAAAAGTAAAGATGCGGTTCAAAACTTTTAGTTCATGGCATGAAATTTATAGAAAGAAGGTTGTTTTAAAAACCAGCTTTCTCCAGTCCAGACATGGCATCGAACCAGCAAGAGGACCAACCAGTCAAGGCCTAACATGGTGATCGGTAAAAATAGAAAAAATAAAATAAAAAGTTACCAAACAAACAAGAGATGTAAAAGTTATAAAACTTCAATGGGAGCGCCAGGTGCTAATGCATTAGCTGGTAATCCATAGGTGCAGCGCCCTATTGTGCACCCACGATCGTGATGAAACGGGGGGGGACACCTATGCAAATAGGATGCTAAAATGCCACCCTTAGCAATTTTTGCACGTTCCATCCAATGCAAACTGGCAAAATACAGGCCATTGACATCCAATACAATATAACCTAAACTGGTAGGAATGCATTGCCGGCATATTCCCATGAACAACAAAGCGATGAAGAATTTCTCCCATTATAGAGAATAATATGAAAATCCAGAACGAACAAGATGTACATCACACCTACTTGTAAATAATAAATATATTTGACATTATAAAGTTTTAATAGAGACACGTACACGTGCTCACACACACACACGCGCACCAAAAAAGAAAAGAAAAAAAGAAAGTGAAGTATAAAGATATGATTAATTTTCCATTATGCAACAAGAACTTGAGCCCCTTCAGCCACTGACCTCTTACGAAAAAATTTAAAAATGCACTCAACATCACGATCAAAGTACCTGAAAAGAAAAGGTTCCACAAATGATAATGAAATACGAGGAAATAATCCAAATATATGGAACAATTAAGACAGACCATACGTGGCTAATTAATCAAATCAAGATGAACTTAACCAGAACATAGTTTCTGGCTCGATCAATGATGATGGAAAAACAACAAATGTACTACCGACATGGTAAGGATGAAAATCACAGTGGCTAAAGTACAGACTATTAGAATTGTATCATAGGAGATTATATCACATACATCTGTGCATTTCTGTGGGAAACTGACACCATCTGAGGAAAATCAATCATGGTGACCTTCTCGTCATCATCAATCTGATCAAGAAAATAACAGGAACATAAGAAGCAGAAAAGATCCATTGGACATACAACAAACTTTATTACTACATTTCCCTAGGAATGCAAAATAAAGTAAATCAAGAAATAAATGATGCACCACTGGAGTCTACTCGTCAATCAACATATGCCAGGAACAATGATGTAACTGAGAAAAATCTTTTGTTTTTTTCTCTTTGGGTAGATTTTTTAAAAGTTTTCTTACAAGTAAACCATTCATTCATAGATGAAAGACGCATCAAATTGTACTCGAGTAGATTGTAGAAGCAAACAAAAGTATATAAAAAAGGGAACAAATGCAAGAGGAATAGAAAGAAGGCAAGAGGAGAGATTGCACAAGTCAGGAATAGAAATTCTTAGGAAAAGAAGTATTATCATTGGCACACAGGCCGGTAACAAAATTAGCTTCTATGAGTACATATCAGAGGTAGACTGAGATTTATGATCTCAATCAATGACTAAACGTTATAACCTCTGACATCTCAAACTACAATAGAGAGAAAAAAAGAAAATAAAAGAGATCAATTATCATTTAACAACAAGGGCGCAACTATATAATGATTGAAAGGAAAAGGACCCTTTGAGTCGACTTATTGATTTTCAATTAAAATATAAAGAACATGAGCAGCACAGGATAATATATTCCATTTACTTTTCTTTTTAGCCATTGCAATCAATCCCTTTACCAAAAGAATCCTAAGTAGCCCAAGACTTTACTTGCAGCAGCCACAAAAGAAAAGGGAAAGACAGCCTAGGCTGTTTGAAGGCATCAAAGTTGCATCAATAGGTAGGCTCTCTTGTGAAGATTTGGACAACCACACACTTTCACTGTGAGGCACAACCAAAAAAAAAAAAAGCATAAGGTTGCCAGAGATGTTTGTTCTATCTCTGATGAGCATCCCAATTTATTTTACCTAGATGTTTTGCCCGAGTTCTTCAATTATTACACATATTCATCATCTTTCCTAGATCTACCATTTTTCTCTCTTCTGCTTCGAAGCACTTAGACAAAATGCATATGAGGCTTAAACCTCAAGGCTGCAAAAAGCCTTGCATTTTTTAGGTTAATCCTTAACATTCTGCCCATTGAAGACCTCTTATTCGAAACTAGGTTATAGAATAACAACACTTAAAACTCTAATCAACAAATGTACGCAATGATTCATTGACAGACAAGAACACTTACCATAATGTTAAATTCATTGAAATCGCAATGGATCAGACCATGTTCTGCCAAACGCACAACAATACCAACGATAGTCTCAAAGATTGTCTCTGGGTTCTGCAATTGCTTCACCTGGACACTGCATGGAAACAAGAAAAAACAAGGTATGAATCAATGTGAAGTTTTTTATTAAGTAATACAAGCCTGAGTTACCATTATTACTAGAGAAAAGAATGCAAGAACCAGAGCTAAATGCTGATTGATCAATCAGTCTGGGACAGGAGTCCTGCTAGCTGGTGGCAAAACCATCTAATGCTGATTGAACAATCAGTCTTGAACAGGAGTCTCGCTAGCTGGTGGCAATAGGTGTGCTTGACCACAAACGTCCTTCCAACATATCAGTTGAGAGGTTTTTTTTTTTGATAATGTTAACCCTAAATTGATAGTGAAGAAAGAAGAGTACAAAGGACCATGGCGATCCACAGAAAAGGATGCTCAAGGGAAGACAAAAAAAGAGGCAAGATCGCATCCTATTTTAGGAGGTTACAACTGGGTAACAACCAGTGTTTTAAAATGCGGGATGCGGCCCTGATGCGGTGGGGGGCCGATGCAGCTCGATGCGGCCCGGATGCAGGTGCATCGTGATGATGCGGTCAATAAATGTAAAAAAATTCAAAACAATCTAAAAAAATAAGTTAATGCATAGAAAAAAATATGAAGGTGATATATGCAATAGTAGGTATTTTAGTTTAATGATTAACTTCAAAACTATTAGCTGTCGGAGATTCTGTATCCAGTTATCCACTATCCCCTAACAGAAACTAGAAACTTGAAACCAGCTTCATAAAGCATTCAACAATCAACAACCATCAGCACAAATTTGCACTGTAAGCACAACTATAATTAATCACAACCATCAACAACCATAAGTACAACCATAAGCACAAAATAATGATATTACAAAATACAAATCAAAACTCAAGCTCAAGAAGAGTTAATAGTTAATAAATAATAACTTAATACAATCATCCATTTTCAGAGTCAATTTTGAAATGTAAACTTCATTTTTTCAAATATCAATCTGACAAGTCATCTTGAGAGTCGTCATGCGCATCATCAATATCATCCTCGACGGCCTCCATGTATTCTTCTTCATCAGTCTCCTTTGAGTCAACTTCCTCCTCAACCTCTAAAACTAATGTGCGAGTGCGACTAGACCCAGCAGCTCCTCTACTCCTTTGTGCTCTAGTGTTAGGTCAATCTTCTTCATTAACCCCTGTTGCTAGCTCGACATCAAGCCATGTAAGATCCTCACCCTCAAACACACGCTCTTGTCTTGGATCGACGGTCCACTCACTTATGGAATCACCATCAGCTTCATATGATTGAATAGGGTTGAGCTTCGTGCGATTTTCATACCTCTCCCTAAGCCACTCTAATTGCGCTCACAATCAGCTGAGCTACATGTGAGATTCAACACTCGAATAGCGAGACGTTGTAGATTTGGTGTCTCGCTTCCATATAATGCCCACCATGCAACTGTATAATATTTTATAATTTAGAATATAGTTAAAAATTATGGGTATAAAATAAACAATGGAACTATACATAAAGTAAGAGACAAGTAAGATTATTTTTGGGCTTTTGGCCTTTACCTGGATCTCTAGTGTCCCTATTTCAAGTGGCAATATCTCTCCCAAAGTTTCTCAAGGCTAACTTGAACTTAATCAATTCATGGCTCTGGATCTCATCCTGGAAATCTTTGTCTGACACCAACCTCTCCAGCACATCTAAGAACCCACCATTTATTACACGATCTGACTCAATGGATGAGTGCTTGTAGTGAAGAGATGGGTTTAGAAAATAACCGGCTGAATGGAGGTGCCTGTGAAGCTGGGCATCCCATCTCCTATCAATAATTTCAAGTATAGCCTTGCGCATATTTTCATCATCCTTTAAAACATCTTTTATTTCAGTTCTTGCCCTAATCATTGCCTCATGTATGTAGCCCATGGCGGGCTTCGTATCACCATCAACCAGTCGAAGCACTCTCACCAAAGGGTGAGCCACCTCCAATGCAATAATTATTTGACTCCAAAAAGATGTATTCAGAATAATTTTGCAACCTTTCTTCCATCCTTATGCTTTGACCATATGCTTTGACTCCATTGCTCTGAAGCAAACATGGTCCTCAAGGCACTTTTTTGCTTGGCTAGGCTTCGAAGAGTGAGAAATGACGTGGCAAATCTAGTGATTCCCGGTCTCACTAATTCTCTCTTCTTTGTAAAAGACCTCATCATGCTTAAGACTATAGTGTGATTATAAATAAATCCAACAAACATAGCTCTTGAAATCACCCCACTAAATAAAGATGTTGTACCCATTTCCTCAAGCATAAAATTAACACAGTGAGCTGCACTAGGAGTCCAAAACATAAGCTTCCTTTTCAAAGTCAAGAAATACCCAGCTGCAGCATAATTGGCACCATTGTCAATGATAATTTGTACCACATTTTGCTCTCCAACAAAATCGACAATCTCATCCATCAAGCCAGATAAGTATATACCATCATGTGACTTGTCTGATGCATCAATAGACTTAACAAAAAAAGTACCCGTTGGGCAATTAACCAAAAAATTAATGAATGCCCTTGATTTTCCATCGGACCAACCATCACACATAACAGTGGCCCCATATTTCTCCCACCCTTCTCTCTAATAAATCAAAATTTCATTCACATCAAATACAGCATCCTTCAACAAGGGCTCCCTAACCTCATGTAGTGAAGGAGGAATAAGTCCTAGGCCATATTGCCCAATTCCCTGGACCATACATGCAAAACTATCCAGAGTTATAGTATTAAAAGGAATGTCAGCCATGTAAATCCACTTTGCAATCCACTTACATACCGACTTCCTTTGTTCTTTCTTATATTTATTGTCAAATGAGGTTTGTTTTGTTTTTTTCTTTCTCTCCTGAACCACAATTTCGGGGCTAGGGGTGAAAAAGAATCCATTGGCCCCTTAGAGAGAGGTGTTCTTCTCTCAGCACTACCACCAATATTTATAACCCTCTCTCTTGAGGTTGGAGTATGAGTACCCTTTTGCCTCATGGCAACTTAAGACATATCATCATCATCAACAACAACGACATCATCAAATAATTGCATATCATCAAGTAATTCCTTTCTTTTCTTTTCATTTCATTTTTCTCTTTATCTTGTTCAATCTATCCAAATATTCTCTAATCTCCTTTTTTATATCATCTGTAGCTTGTGGGCATGCTCTTGCATTCCCAGAAATTCCAGCTAAAAGCTCTTTTTGTCGAAAAATACCACCCATATAAGTATTTCCACAGAGCAAGCATATTACACAATTTCTATCTTTCGGATTTTTTAGTTTAGCATATTCCCAAGCCGGATCCTTGTTACTAGAAGATTGGGAAGAAGACATTGCCCCAAAAATAAGTATAACAGTATTATTGTACAAGAAAGAATAAAAAGTTACCGACTCCGTGAAGTAGTGCTCGATTTCTTCACGGCCTCTGAAATCCCCAATTTCTGACCACAAATTCACTTTAACATCCCCAAATCAACAATCAAAAGCATCAAATGAACATCCAAGTATCAAACAACCGCCAAATCAAAGATTTGGATGAAAAAAAAATTTTCGCCAAATTTTTTTTTTGCTTCAATTTGATGCATAAAGAGCCACAAAAGTGGCTGGAAATCTTCGGTTAGGGGGTATAGTGACCACCCAAACAGTTTTCCTAAACTTTGGAACTACAAAAAGACCATTTTGCCCCTCCTCGAGGGGCAAAATAGAAAAAAAAATTCACGAAAACAGATGTTGCGAGATGCGATCTGATGCAGCCGCATCTGTCAAAAGCGCATATGCGCCAATTCGCGATGCAGATGCGAGCGCATCCCACATGATGCATCCGCATTTTAAAACACTGGTAACAACCAAATAAAAAAGGTCGGTCCGAAGAACAAAAAAGAACAGCCCAAAAAAGTAAAAACCAAAAAACCAGTTCTCCACCATCGTAGCTGCTTCTTTCGCGAGCAATCAGCTTCCTGGTTTCCTTCTCTCCAAGTATGCATCCATACGACGGACATATTCCTGCAAAGGTGATGAATCTCGACAAACACTTGCTCCAGGAACAAGGGGGGAGGCGAGCAAGAAAGTCTCTGAGCCCAAGAAATGGTGTTCTAGGAGTCACCTTCCACCACTAAAGAGTGTAGGTGGAAGGGTTGTATGAGTTTTAGGCCTTCCAAAAGTGCGAGGGCTTCAGCTTCCATAGAGTTGGTATGGCCTATATGTTTGGAAACTGTGGCCAGTGTAGAACCAAGGCGGTCTCTAAGAATGGCTCCTACACCTGATGGGCCCGGGTTTCCGATGGAACAGCCATCGAAATTCAGTTTCAGCTCTCCTACATTAGGGAGCTTCCACCCTGTGGACCTGGTCAGACGCACTCGGGTGAACTTGGAGGGCATTGCTCCAATCGTGACTGAAAGCCGATGCACGAATTCCTTTGAAGCTGCGATGGTTGGTTGCCCAAAAGGTGATACTGGTTTTGAGCTCATCGAACACTTTGTTCCAAGGGGAGTACTCCCCCAGGAAAGTTTTGTTGTTACGCTCGATCCAAAGGGCCCATAGAGCAGCTGCCACCAAGGATTTCCAGAGCAGTGTCACCGCGATTGGCCAGGGATAGGGTTTGATGGCCAAACAGATGGATGTTACCTCAGGCGGTAGCACCCACTGAACGTTGAAGAACTTGAGGATTGCCCCCCACAAATTGAATGCGAAGGGGTGGTGCAACAAAAGGTGATTGTTTGTTTCCTCAGCTGCTTGGCACAAGACACATCGGTTGGGTATCGAAATGCCCCTTCTCTGCAGTTGATCTACTGTGAGGACTCTCTGACAGAGAGCCAACCACATGAAGATCTGGATTTTTGAGGGGGCGAAGGAGTCCCAGGCTAGAGCAGCTAAGGCCATGGGTGCCAAAGGAAAAGTAGGGGGAGAGAGAGGCTGCAATAGAACGAGGACACCATGAATAGGCCTGTAGGTGCAGGTGTCCAAATCATGCGGTCAGATCCAGTAGGTAGAAGGAAGTAGGCGTGTAGATCTGCCGCTAAGG